TACTGGCCTCCATAATGAGTCGTGTTCAAATAATGGGACTGTGTGATTTCATTATGCAATAAGCACAAGCCACTTGAAGCGGCTTAAAACTCCGAAATTACTTCACTTATTTTGACTGCCTCTGGTCATAATATTTCAGCAACAATACTCGTAGAATATTCGCTTAATTAACAGGAAACTCGTACTGATTTTTGTGCAGGCATTTGTTTGTAATTAAATCAACACTCAGTTGAGTAACCTAATTCCACAATTTAATTCAATTCTCGCTTGATGTGATTGCTTGCTCACGTATTGAATGCTCTGTTAAGGAATCCCGCAAAGGATGCAACCATTCGGCAGACAAAAACTACATACATGCCATGGAACGCAACATAGTCACCACAAAGAAAAAGCTGCTTGCTATGGCTACAAAATAATGCAATTCTCGAATTTCTAATCATGCACAGAAGCCAGAACCCAAAACAAATTGTTTACACTTAACCAGTCGGAAAATGCCACCAACCACCGAACACCGAACACCGACCACCGCCGGCTATATGTGCGTACATGCGAATGGGAAACGGAAAATGGGCAAATGGGCAAATGGGTAACTGCACAGCATTTTCAAGCGAATCGCTATAATAACAATAACAATAACAAGAGTGCACACAATTTACGGCTCGTGTCAATGCCATGGCCTTCAAATGCCAGATCGCATGGTGGCAAAAACACACAGGTGTGAACACAGGCCACCTCTACCCCTACCGCTACCGCTACCGCTACCCATCCCCCATCATGACTATGGCTATGAGATTTTCTAACGTTCTACCCCAAAAACGAAATTGTATTACACTTTCATTTAAGTTGATTTTGTGGTTCCATCTGTCCATCCGTTGAATAAAAAGGATAGCAAGCACGAAACAAAAAGTCAAAGAGAAGGAGAGAGAGGGAGAGAGGGAGAGCAGAGCGCAGAGCTGTGTCGAATGTGAAACATGTTTTCGGTTAGGGTTTTGCTTTGGGTTTTTAGTTTTTTTTGTTTTTTTTGTTTTGTCACCGTGCAAATCAAATTTGTCAGCCTTGTCGGGGTAGCCGGACAGGACACAGCACAGGACGACAAACAAAAACTAAAAGTGGCGAACAAAAAAAAACATAATGTGGGAGTGGGAAATGAGTGGAGCGAGAGGGGGGGATTATGCCTGGGGACAGAGTCACGTTCGTGCTCGTCGGGCCAATTACAATTTTATAACAGAATTTTGTGCTGCACCCCAGCTGTCCAGCAGCACAGCAGCACAGCTCGTCTGATTTTGCTGCTCAAAAATACTTACATATATATGTATGTATGTATGGATGGCGCTGCCTGTCAAAGCGAACTGTGTGTGCCGTGCTGACAAAGGCTAATGCAAATTGAAGTGACAATGTGGTCCGACTATTCTCGCCTCGTGTTCGGAAGGCATAAATTATAATTAATCGTACACCAACCCACCCCACGCAGCAGTGCGGTACGGTACGGGGCAGCAGCGGTTCTGATACTCTGATTTTGTGTATATGTTTTGCGGTTGTTGCTTCTGCTAAATTTACACAAATTGCTGTTGACAGTTGTGTCAGAGTTGTTGTGTGTGCGGGCGCTGGGCACTGGGCACTGGGCGCTGGGCACTGGCAGTTCGGCAGAACTTATGCATACATTTGGCAAATAAATATACACATACATAGCCACTCGTATTGTTTGCCAGTCCGTTCTGCCCTGCTCTGCTCTCTGTTTGAGTTTTGGTGAATTGCCTGCCTGTCAGATTACCCGAAACCAAATCCGATGCATATCACAATTCACAATTCACAAATAGTTTTCGACTTAAGGGTATTTCCCCCGTGGCACACCGTACGATCCAAAAACAAAATATTTAAATTTCAAATTTAATACTTTTGAACTCTTCTCATTCGCTCATAAGTCCCCCAAGGTGACAGGCCAGGGCGGCCTCTCATCCATCAACATGTGCGAGAGAGAGAGAGAGAGATAACGTTCAGTGATGTGTGTGTGTGTGTGTGCGTGGATAGCATATGAAAATTGACTTATCCTGCCATAAAATGCAGATAAAATGCACAGCCCTTGAGCACACCACACCTTCACCTCCACTGATAATGATGCTCTGATGCTGATGCTCCGATGCTCTGATGCTCCGATGCTCCGATGCCGATGCTGATGATGTACGCCTGCTGCCTCTTTCAGCCATCGCCTGGCCATGCGTAATGGCATTTTGACAAATTATCTTTCCATGAGCCATAAATACACACTTGCACTCTACACACACACACACATACACGCGCAGCTGAAGGCAGCTTAATCCTGTGGGGTACTACGTGTAAGAGTGCGTTGGCTAAGCGGCTCTGTTGGGTGCTCATATGTGTGTATATGAATGATGCTGATAGAGCTTAGAGTATGCTTTGAGAGTAATTTTTCATACAATTATTCACGATTTTTTGCATATATTTTCGTAGTTTAATAACGAAACGATCGCTTAACTAAATTCAAACTAAATTGTTTCCTCCAGCTTATATATTTTTACAACTATACCAAGGCATATATATGTATGTATGTATATCCTGCTTGTTTTTATGCACAAATATTTGCTAGAGTATCCATACGTGTCATAACATTTCTGTTTAATTTTTTTGTCCCACTTCAAGAACTTGACTAAGAAGTTTTCTTTGCTGCTTCGGTCTGCTGTTTGGTGCCACCGTGAAGTGTCACTAATTTTTACTTTCATAATTTGCCATAAAATCCATACGTTCATTTACAAATCATTTATCATAATGCCGCCGACAAGGCAGCTGACAAAGTGGCTTTACACACTGCAGCAGCAGTATCCAAACAGAAGAGGCCATAAATAGAGAGAGGAAGAGAGAGAGAGAGAGAGAGGGAGGGGGGGGAAGGGAGGGAGGGAGGGAGAGCGAAGCGGCCTGATGTGGTGGGTGTTGAGAGGCAATAAGATACCACTTGCGACTTTAATAAAACTTTTCCCAACCGGCACCTGACAGCGTCGATGCGCGGGGCGGGCGGTGGGTGGCTGGGTGGGTGGGTGTTGACCTGCCTGGACTGGCACACAGTTTTTTAGTTCGTTACCCGCACCTGAGTGGGCGTGTGGCCTGGCTGTTTGGCCATCCCATTCTCTGAGCATTTCTTTCACTTTAGCGCAAAACTTGGTCTACCTCCTACTCATAGTCCTACTCCTACACCTACTCCTCCTCCTGCTCGTCCGCGTTGCCTGTCGACCAAACTTGGCCAAAGGCCAGGCAACTTCATTTAAAGCCATGAAACGCACTGTATTTATTAAGCATCGCGGGAAGACCAAAATTAAAGTCGCTTTTATTTTAAATATATTTGTTCAAGTTGCCATTGCCTGGGATTCCTTTAATTTTCCCCCTTTTGTGATGAGCTCAAGAGCAAGAGACTTGAAGGGTGTGGGTGTGGGTGGCTGGCAAGGCAGAAAAGTGTCAGCAGCGCTTGACGTCATGGGTTTAGTTTTACCGTTACACTTGCAGCTGCTGACTTTTCATAGCGTCGAGCACAAGATATACCCTTTGTGCTATTCGGAAAAGCGTTTCTTTGGTGTCTTTGGATTGCTTTTACAATTAAGCAGCTATGAAAATTTGCTTTTGTTTAATTATTATATTAAATTATGGATTGTGGCGTATAGAGCATAATCTAGCTAATATGCTCGTCCATACAGCGCTTCGTACCTATTTTTTGTCGTCTTATTTTAGCTTCTCGTATTGCTGTTTGAGCTTGTTTCCCTTTTTTTGCCTTTGTTGTTGAGGCTTAGCAAAAAGCGAACCGGAGAAACACCCGAAGTGGGTGTGGCACACATACACGCGGGGACGAACACTTACACATGCATAAACACTCATTCAAGCTAAGGTGAGATGGTGTCTGAGATTCTTACATCAAGGTTGCACCCCGAGCAAGAGAAAAAAGCATAGAAAAAAAACCAAAAACAAAATTGCATGCAAAATGAGTTCGCCTGTTGAGATTTAGTGATAGAGCACACACACACACACACACACATACATGCGCATATATACCAACATTCATTCAAGTGTCAGAATTTCCCCCGCCTCCCCTCATACCTGCTTAGCCCTTAACTAAGCCCCATTTGAGTGGCCGCTTGCGAGCTAAAGAGATGTGCAACATTTTTCATTGCCTACTTTTTGGGGCAGCAAAATCATTCATTCGCGAGGCTGCATTTTCGCTTGAATAGTAACCAATTTTGCTGACTAATGAAGTGCCGATAATGGTGTAGAGAGAACACTTTTTGTATATAGGGTTTCATATTTAAGGCAAACAATTACATTGAAGGAAAATAAGATTTAAAAACAGAGCTAAATTCGCAAAAAAAATCCTACCAAAAATGGGATTTAAACTGACACTAAAGACCATTCGTTTCATATGCATATTTTCGATTTAGAATATACTTTATTTATTGCATATTGGACCTTGGAGATACATGTCGATGTATGTATGTTTTTTTTTACTTATATTCTGCTCAGTTCTGTTTCTATATGCAGCCTGCAATGGGTATAAAATACATAGTTACAACTACATATTATATATGTATATGCCATTGTTTGCCTTGTAAACTTTTGCAATATTTGCAGAATTGCAATCTTAATGATCGCATCGGGGGCTCAGACAATGCCCCCCACTCTTGCCCTGATGTTTGCACACTCTGCAGGATATAAAAAATCAATTAGCTTTCGCTCGAATGCGCAACTTTTGCAGGCATTTTTATGGCCTTTTCCCCCACTTCAGCTTCCCCATTTGGCCGGGCCAAGCCAGGCCAGGCTAGGCTCCATTTTCATTTGCAATTATTACGCATAATTTGCCAGCGGCGGGCCAACACCAGAGGTCGCTAATGAAACAACTGTTGGGAAGGTTGCCGCATTTTTTTTTGCTTCTTTTTGAGTTCCTGTTGCTGTGTGTGGCATGCGTTTTAACGAGTCGTACTAGTTGTATGTTTAACGATACTTACCCAGTATGACCAGGCCATTGCCGAGGAGTCCGGCAAAACCAATAATGCCGAAAAAGACGGGCACTATGGTGGATACAATGCGCTCCAAGGGCCAGCTATCCGGATCATAGTCCATCGAATCATTCGCATGTTGGTCGGTTGTGAATGGATAATTACTGGAATTGTTGCCATAGTTGTTGTTGTTGTTGTTGTTGTTGTTGCTGTTGCTGTTGTAGATAGTGTTGTTTTCATAGTTGTTCATATTGTTGCTTGTAGCTCCCTCACTGGCCAAAGGCCAACTGCTAATTAGGACGGCCAACAATAGTGCCATGGCCAGACTTTTGCCCATTTCTACGCCTCTTTTACGATGAGTATATATGTATAATATGGAATATATATGTATATCTCCTTCACTCTTTCTCAATTAAGTTGTCTATTTGTAGTTGGGTTTTTCGTAGAGATTTTTAATTGCTCTTCTCTGCTACTACTGTCTGTTTGTTTTTCGTTCTTCAGTGGAATTTCACTGTTTTCGGTTGCATATATTTCATCATGTTTTTGTTACATTTTAGATTTATTTATAGTATGCCCACAGCCACGCCTACCTCATGACGGGCATTTCCACTGGCGGGGGCACACGGTTGCCGTTTAATTATATCCTGCTGTAAGAGACAAATTTAGAGTCGTATAATAAATATGTCTGTACAGATATCTGCATATATCTGCATGTATGTATTTATCTGGAGGTATGGGCACCAGTCAGATAATGGATGGACAGTCAAGGTCGCAGCTGTGGCCAGCCTGTGGGTGGTGCAGTGTATTTTGTGCTCGCTCAACTGAATGAAAGTAAAGTGTGGCCGTGGAAAAAATGTTGCCAGTTTTTCGTTCGATGATTCGCTAATTGAGTGACGGAATGGACAATGAATATGCAATTGGGAAAATCGAAAGGTTACATTGGTAGCAAGTGCTGCTCTAATCAAAATTTCCCAAAGAAACAAAAAGAAAATAAAGAAATAAAAGAGTAGAATTTGTATTTGCTCTGCCACCATTTCATTCCACTGTTCCATTGCCTATCATCTGCATGGTCATGTAAAAATTATGCAAAAAATAATTTAATTCCATTACACGAATGGGCAAATTTGGGGCCATGATGGAGAGGAGTGATGAATGCATGGCAGTGGGAGAGAGTGGACCTTGGCAAACGTTCATCACATTTGCATACTTTAATGAATAACATTGATGTTGAAATCAGGGCCAGTGTGGCAAAGTGAAGGCTGTGCCAAAAAAAGAATAAAAATAAAATAAAAAAAAAAACCATACATATATAGACATTACGCCACGTGCTGTGTGCATCAATTAGCCAACGATGGATGGCACTCGTACATATGTACATATGGAAGTATCCACCTCATGTTATCTTTCTGCCACTGCCATTACACTCGAACTGCTGCAGGGCCTGCTGGTGTGAACCTTCTGCGGACAGAGACAGACACAGACACAGAGACAACTAACAGACAGACGTTCTAATCGAGGAGACATATGTGCTGTCATGTCGTGTCTGAAATGGCACGCACCAAGGGCTGACAGTTGGCTTAAGCTGTCAATTAACATATTATTAGGCAAGTAGCAAAAAAAAACAAACAAAAAATAAACAAAAACAAAAAAGAACAACATCATTGGGTGGGTATGTACTGTATGTATGTATATGCTGGTGCTGATGTCGAACGCAATGATTTGATGGAAATGGGCCCAACAGAACCCTTGACAAACGATGACGACAACGCGAGGCATTGCATACATATATGTATGTATGAGTATATAAGAAGACTTTGGACGAATGAATCTCTAGATAGAATTTCATAAAATACAATATTAAAGCAAAGTTACTGGCCACAAATTTGTAATGCAATTTTTCATAATTATTACACATTTGGTGGGGAAATTTGTCTCCCTTAAATTCACAATCATTTAAGTTGATAGCGAGACTTTAAAATGGGAATACACTGAATAAAGAGCCTAACAAATTTCATGGGAAAAGATTTGGCAATAATAAATGAGTACATTTCTGAGTACAGAAAGCTGGGAAACACACTTGCCCCTCCCGCAACATGCCACACCAAGAAAGCAGACGATAGACGATGATTCAGCACAGACAATTCGTTGTCGGAATAAATTTGGAGAGCAAAGAAAAAAAAAGTAGAGCTAGACATAAGCATACATCAACAAATTGGCATTTGCAGCACAAAGTTGGAGGCGTGATTTGGCCTCCCCACTGTATGCATAAGATTTGGCAGCCCCCGCAACAGTCGCATGCCCCAACAGACACACAGACATACAAACACACAGACAGACAGACAGATATAAATTATGCAGATGATAGATATCTGGAGGCTCGTATTTGTATCATTTTTGTTTGCGCATCTAACAAATTGGCATTTTCTGGGCCAGCGACAAGCTGAATTATTACTTGATGGGCAGGGACTTTTAATTAAATCCAAACAGCAGTAATTATTTCGCAATGTTTTGCCACTGCTCATTCATTATGTTCATTTGCCTAGCGCTATCTAACGCTATGAGTGTGTACTCAAGTTAGAATTATGGACTAGTAAACGGTATTTAATGGTAAAGTGTTTTAAATCAAAACGGAATGGCGTTAAGGGAATGGTCGGGTCGGGTCGGGTCGGGTAGGGTAGGGTGTGCGTGTGCGTGTGGGTGTGAGTAGATGCTCAACGATTTATGTTGAGCATTTTAAGCTGTTTTGATTTACGGCTGCTCGGGCCAATTTCGCTCTGCGGCAAACTGTTTATGGATTAAGAGGCGAATAAAAGAGCTGCCGTTTGAACAGGCAACAGAGCGTCCTCCGTCCATCCGGCAATCCTCGTTTCAGTGGCTCTTCCTGTGTCTGTGGCCCCTTACTGTCTGTGTCTGTGTGGCCGTGGCAGTGTCACGAGGGCAAACCGGCCATGAAATTGAATTTGTTAGTTGCACAGCGCCGCGACGAAAGGCCAAAGTGAAAAGTGTCCGATGTGCAGAGGCACTTGAGGCACAACAATGTCGTCTAGGCAGTGGGAAACAGTCACTTTTTTGGAGCATTAAAACAAAAAGGGGATTATCTGATTCAGGGATGGACAACTTTCAGATATATTTTTTCTTTTATACAACAACTCAAGGATTTTGACATATCTGAAGATGTTCCAAACGAATTTCGAGCTTTCGAGCGCTTAAAATTAATGATTTCTAAACATATTGCTGAAAGCCTTTGTAGCCCTTTCCTTTAGCAACTTCACAGACTATTCATTCGAATTAGTTGAACAGTTTTGGATAGATTCATAACTCATTTATGACCACTGCACTGCACTGTCACAGATCTGTAACCCATCAGGCGTCCAGTGACAATTCGCAGCAATTAGTCGACCAGTTTTTTATGCAGATTTTCCGCCGACTTCGATTGCAGTTGAGTCGCCATGGATATGCATAGCTAATCGGATTCGAGGCACAAAACCAAATTGGCAGATCGAGACTGATGATTGGTGATTGGTGAGTCGACAGAAAATTCATTAATGCCCATCACTTCGCATGGGATGTGCTTCAATTATGTCTTTGAGTCTATTCATGAGAGCTTAAGCTTTTCAGTGGCTGTGCACAAGTGCAATGATTCACTTCACATCACTTCACAATGACACTCTATGCCACGCCAATCCGTGTGGCATACACACGCACACACACACGCACACTAACCCAGTCCAGACAGTCAATCAGTCAGTCAGTCAGTGAGATTGGGGAGAGATTACGTATACGCAGCATTGTGCGCGCCAAAAAGAGCTTCGTGCCAGCACTGGCACACATGCAACACAATGCACCAGAATCCAGAATCAAGAATCCAAAATACAGAACCACAAATGCAAATTCCCTCTGGGATCCATGAGCATGGGCATAGGCGTTGGGGCATTTAACTCAGCCCTGCCCCATCCAACGGCCTCACTACGTCAATCAATTGTGGGCCAGGACAACCCTATTGTCGGCATCGGTGAGCTGATTATTTCATTTATTTCAATTAGAAGTGGGGCTGGCTGGCTGGGCTTTTAGAGTTAGAAGACTGAGGAGGGGTGCCCGGGGTCCTGGGCTTGACTTTGCCGCTCATGTGGCTTTTATGAACGCTGCCGTTCAATCTAATTGCGTTTTTATGGCCTGAGTGCGAATCATAAAAGCAGCAGAGCAGAAGCACAACCTCATACCATGGGAGCTGGCATACCATAAGGCACACACCATGAACTGAACTGAACAGAACTGAACTGAACTGAACTGAAGGGAGTCCCGAGGCAGCAGGCAACAGGCAACACGCAGCAGGAAGAGCCAAAGGCAACGTAGCAACTGAAACAACAGCAGAAGCAACAAATTCCATCATAAAATTAGATGCCTAGCTGAAGCCGCCAATACGCAGGCAACATCTGTTCTAAATTAAATATTAATAATTAATTAACTCAAAAAAATAAGAAGCAACAAAAAGAGGATACGGTGGCAGCCACCACCACAAGCGAAACGAAACAAAATATTGAAAAATAAATAACAAACAACAAAACGAAACGAAACCAGAAGGAAATTGTATCTGCTAGGGCTCTAGCACTAGATACCCTTAAAGCTCGATTATTACTATGGCATATTGGGGCAAATATCTCACAGAGATTATTTTACAATAATAAATCCATTATATAATATAAATTGGTTATTAATGGAATATACTCTATTTAGAAACAAAAATAATATTTCCACAGAGTAATCGTTTTCTGATCGAGTAAATAGGAGCTGTTGAGTGCTAGCTAAAATAGGTCTCCGTGCAGCCAGAAATATTTTAAACTGAGAGAAATTTGGTCACATTTTTAAACGCTCCTTTAAATGCTAATAAATAATTCAAAATTGTACTCCATAAGAATTGATTTTTCCGCTATGTTATTGCCATTTTCTAAGCAAAATTGTGGTACCTTTAGGCAGGGTACAGCCAGAGCAAGAGTCAACATGTCTTTAAAGTTGCTGTCGCTGCCAATGCGGCGTATGAGCAACGCACAAAACTTTTCCCAGCTCTATGCGTGTGTGTGTGTGTGTGTGTGTCTGTGGTAGAGTGCACGCGAGTGTGAATGAGTGAGTGAGTCAGTGTGTGTGGGTGTGTGTGCCTGGGTAATTGTGGGAGAATGAGTATGAATTTGTGTGTTGTTTGCTCATGGCAAATGCGGTTAGTCCATTAAAAGAGCGGAATGTGCACTGAATGCAATAGAGAACGATGCAGCAAAACGCTTTGATTATAGAGTGCCCAGGAGGAATATCAAAGAGTGAATATGAAGGCAAACAGGTTTATGGATATAGAAAGAAATCAAAGCATTTGCAGCTCATAAAAGTAGCACAATCGAACACTCTTGTTAATGCCATAAAAATAAACCTTTTCAGTTCGCATTATTACACTGAAAATGAAGAGGAAAATTAATGATAATCTGACGAGTGCTGCGGGTGTGCGCATTGCTGCCTTTCAGCTGTACGAGTAATTGTCCAATTAGTTGTTCAACCCCTTAATTGTTTCGCGGAAATCGATTATTACTCGCTGATCAACTGAGAAACCAGAAGCCAGCCGTGCGATGCTGCAAGGATGTTTCAGTTTCCCATTCGAATGTGC